TAGACCTGAATCATCATAAAATCCAATCCCTTTATGATACGTCTGCCCAATGACCCTTCAGTCTGCTCTGCACTGACAGAAGGTTGCCATCCCTTGAGCAAGCCTAATCTGGAAATGCCTTTTGTGTATTACTCCATATATAAAATGCTAACCAAGGGAGATGACCCAGAAAGCACCACTGACCTGAATTTTAAGGCTTACAGGAAAGATAGGAGTTGGTGGCCCATGGAAAAGAAAGAATACCCAGGCAGAGTGTTCAGCACAAACACAGAAAACCAAAACCTGGTTGGTGTGAGGGGAAACAGAGCGGGGGTGGGGGTTGGGGAGATAAAGAGTGGTGAACAAGAAGCTTGCTGGTCAACCACGTGATGCCTTGTAGACCATGAGGGAGAGCTTAGATTTTTACACTGCAGGGGAAGAAACGATCACTAAAAGGTTTTCTGTGAAGGGTGATGTGACTTCACTTACATTTCAGTTAGGTCTGCTGTCCATGTGGAAGGGGTAGTTGAGATAGGAAAGACTTATGTAAGAAAGACCAGCTGGAAGGTTGCTGGGATTGTTTCATCAAGAACCAATGAAAAAGTAAATCTGGGGAAGAGCGAAGTAATAGGACTATTGAGGAAGGAAAAAAAATGAATTCTACTGTGGATAATTTTGAAAATGACAAAAGAGTGAAGTCAGAAGTGGCTCTAAGGATGATGAGAGGCAGGCTGGAGGTATGGACGGATTGTTTATTGGGACAAGGATTAGGGGTCTGGAGTTTGTTCTCCTGTGCCGAGCTTGATTTTCCAGTGGCTCATCCAGGAGGAGTAAGGGCAGAAGCAGAAGTAGAAAGGTCTCTGCTGGGACAGGAATGCTAGACTCGTGAGACTGGGTATGATTATGAACTGTTATGAAGACAAGCCTGGTGACGGACCATGGGAGCATACCATCTATGGAGCACATAGAAGAAGAGATTCCTAAATAAAATAGTCCCTGAGGATAGTCACAAACATAGGAAAGGACAAAATGTGCTTGTCATCAGGGAAGCCAAGAAAGCACAGCATCAAAAGGGCGTTGTCCTTCGCAGTCAAGATGTGTAGCAAATTAAAGCTCAGGGTAGTTTTTTCTTTCTGGAGTTGGCATTGCTGGATGCTGTGAACATTTTCCAGGACAATTTCAGTATTGTGTCTGCGTGGCAACTTAGATTTCAGGGAGTGGGTGGGGTGTTTTGTTTTGTTTCCCAAAAAAAGATGAGGAGAATGGATGTAGTTTAAGGGCTTGAAAAGAAGCAAGCATTGTTTTTAGGATCAAAGAGATTTTTGTGGCAGAGGAAGGAAGATGGGGACAGTGGGAGAGAGAGGTTGAGTGTGCAGAGAGTGAGAAGATAGCCGTGGCAGGTTCGGAAGAGCAGTACTTTTTAAAAGGCATCAGGCGGGTCCCTCCTGAGAATAGTTTTGCACCCTCTGAGAAACAAGAGCAGGAAGAGGAATGGCCTTGAGAGTAGAGGGTGGATGAGTATGTGTGGGCATGGAGTTGAGAGTAATCTTGTTTAACGGCCATCAAATCTCATCGGGTCTGGGATAACGAGCTTGGTGGTGACCATGTAATAGGTCTGTCACATTTTCCTTTTTACTGACTCTATACTATTTCAGGCAGCGCGTGGTTAATTCACCACGGTTTTTATTTGCAGAGCACTCCTAAACCACCATCGGTATGATTTGATTCTCAAAATCAGCCAGTTAGTGAATTTTTGACATAAATAAAAAGACATTGAAAAAAGAGATTTATATTTAGAGTCTTAACAGGGACTCTGATCACAAGTCCTCATGGTTCATTATCAATGGCTGCATTAGCTGCACAGGTCCTTTGTTTGCAGCTGAAAAGACATACAGCTCTTAGAACCGCGAAGGCAGTGTACGCATGCAATAAGGTCCTCTCTCCACTGACTGCCCAGTGCCTTTTGCCCTTCAACATCCTCTGGCTCGCTCACTGCTGTGTCTCTGACAACTAGGACTTTATCTGATATATAAAACAGATATATTTCTTTATTGAATGAATAAATAATTTTATCATTTGCTTTAAGATATTTATGTTATGTATTTTTAGCCCCATCACTCTCCACTTAATATCTATTTGCTGTAATAATCCTGTCAGTGTCTCATACAGAGGTTTCAACATTCCGGGCTTTCCATAATTACTTAGTCAGTTGATCTTTAAGTTCTAAAATCTTGTCAGTGGTGGTTTATGGAAAAAATTATTTTGGTAGAGATTTGTGCAGTGTTTTATTAGCTATCTACTCACATTTTTCTTTTGAAAACTCGTGTGTGTGTGTGTGTGTGTGTGCTCGCACACACGTGTGTATTCTTATGTGCTTGTGGAGGCCAGAGTCAACCTCCTGGGTGCATTGGCTGTGGGCCTCATTTGATAACATCAAATGTCATATCTCAGGAGCTGTCACTTTGCTTCTTTGAGACAGCTCTCTCACTGGGACCCAGGCCTTGCTGATTAGCCGAGCTGGCTGACAGGTGAGTCACAGGGGTAAGCCCATTTCCATCTGACCAGCTGCACCACCACCCAGCTGTTTAGAATGTGAGTCTGGAGATAGATCTCAAGTCCTACACTTGCAGTCAAGGACTTTAGCAGCTGAACTATCTCTTCAGTTCCCTCTGACTTTAATATTTGCCCGCTGCTTATCCTATGTAAGCCAAGAAGTCTAAGGTGTAAACTAATCTGTCATTCCCCCCCCCCCAGCTAAAGTTTGGGGTAGGAGAATGTTTCTTAGTTTTCAAGTGGCCATTTTAACTAAAATAAACACGAGGGGGAAGTTTGTAGTTAAATCTTGACATTTAAATTTTTTTATTTATGCACATGTGTACATGGGTTTCCATGGAAGCCAGAAAGAGGCATCAGATTCCCCAGCTGTTGCTGTTGGTTGTGAACCCCCTGACATGGGTGCTGAAAACCAAACCTGGCTTCTCTGGAAAAGCAGGAAGGGCTCCTAAATGCTGAGCCATCTCTAGCCTAACATAGGTCTGAACAGACCCTTTCTCTCTGTAAGCTGCTTGTCTGGCCCTTGTAGGATCATCTCAGGAGGAAATGTTTGTCTATTTTATGTAGTTAAAAGGGGAGGGGTGCTTTTTGTTCTATTGACACATTTTATTTAAAAAACTCAGGTTTACTTTGTTTGAAAAGTTATTTTATTTTAACCATGTGCATGAGTGTGTGAATAAAAGAGAAACAGAGACAGACAGACAGACAGACAGACAGACAGACACACACACACACACACACACACACACACACACACGAGAGAGAGAGAGAGAGAGAGAGAGAGAGAGAGAGAGAGAGAGAGAG